TAAGCTCCTGGTTTGATGCCCTTCGCTGTTACAGAGGGAAACAACTGCCTTCATTTTTTCTGGATCAGGTGTGAATTCAGGTGTTCTGCTAAGAATGAGGCAGTAAAGCACTGCCACACATGTGAGCTCTGAGTTAAATGTGTCTCTAAAAGTTGTCAAGAGCAGGGGAAGATAATCTTGTGGTTTTGGAGTGCTGAATATGACCATGTGTGAGGAGGGGCCTTTTCCCAGGAGTGGCTCTTCCCACTCTGGTCTCTCCCTCCTGGACTGGCTCCCTTCAGCCCTTCATTCCTGCACCTGCTCTCCCTTTGCCTTGCTCCTTTCACTTGGGGAAGTTTTTGGCCGTTTCCCTTAATTTTGACTTTGTGCAGTCCCTGAAAGGTTTCCTCTCCATGCCCAGTGTCCCAAAAGGTGACAGAACACCCCGGGGGCAGCGTTGTGCCCGACAGCGGTGAAGGCGTTGACCAAGATCCGCAGCGTCTACTTTTAGGAAGGTTCTTACTTCCAGAAGTGAATCACCAGCAACTTTCTGCTGTGTTTGTGTCATTCCAGCCACTGAGTACCACCTGGGGCTGCTGAAGGCAAAGCTTGCCAAGTACAGAGCTCAGCTGCTGGAACCCTCCAAGTCCCCGGCGGCCAAGGGCGAGGGCTTCGATGTGATGAAATCAGGAGATGCCCGCGTGGCACTGATCGGGTTTCCTTCCGTGGGCAAGGTCAGTCAGGGTCTGTGTTTCCAGGCTCCTGTGGTTTGCAGCAGCTGCAAAGCAGATTTGGAATCACAGAACCAAGGAACGGTTTGGGTTGGAAGGATTTAAAAGCTCATCCCGTGAGATCCCGGTTGGAATATTGCGTGCAGTCTGGTGCACCCAACCTAAGGAGGACATGGAGCTGTTGGAGCAAGTCCAGAGGATGCCACAAAGTTGATAAGGGGACTAGAGCACCTCTATTATGGAGACAGGCTGAGAGAGCTGGGGATGTTCAGCCTGAGAAGGGAAGGTTGTGTGGAGATCTGAAGGGACTCCAGGGAAGCTGGAGAGGGACTGTTCATCAGGAACTGTAGTGACAGGACAAGGGAATGGGTTCAGACTGAAAGAAGAGAAATTTAGGTTAGACATACAGAGGAAATTCTTCTCTGTGAGAGTGGTGAGGCCCTGGCACAGGTTGCCCAGGGAAGCTGTGGCTGCCCCATCCCTGGAACTGTCCAAGGCCAGGCTGGACAGGGCTTGGAGCAACCTGGGCTAGTGGAAGGTGTCCCTGCCCATGGAAAGGGGGTTGGAATGAGATGAGCTTTAAGGTCCCTTCCAACCCAAACTCTTCCATGATTCCATGGTCTTGTTCCATCCCCTGCCATGGGCAGGGATGCCTTCCACTCTCCCAGTTTGCTCCAATTCCCTGGCCTTGGACACTTGCAGGGATGGGCCAGCCACAGCCTCTCTGAGCAACCTGATATCCATGTTTTCTTCATCTTTGATCTTCTTGCCGTGAATTCAGAGGAGGTTTTTGTACTCTGGGAGCTGAAAGTTGGAGCTAGGGAAACATTCCTTAATCTGTGTGGAGAATCACAGGGTGGGATTCTTGGGGCAGGACAAGGAATTAGACTTTGATGATCCTGATGGGTCCCTTCCAACTCAGGATATTCTCTGATTCCATGCTCTGTGCTCTGGGGTAATGGCCTGAGACTTGTTCTTGCCCAGCCCCAGCACTGCTGAGGAGAGAGGGGGGGGAGTACAGGATTTACCTCCGTTTGATGACAGTGTCACCACCTCACTCCCTTGAAACAGCCATAATTCCCACAGGCTGAGGAGCCCTTTGGTGCCACTTGTTTTGCCTTTTCACTTGCCTGTCTCTAGTGGTGGTGATCTCTTGCCTTTCAGTCCACGTTTTTGAGTTTAATGACCTCAACCGCCAGCGAAGCCGCGTCGTACGAGTTCACCACACTGACCTGCATCCCAGGAGTCATAGAGGTAAGTGGGATTCTCCTCCCTTTGGCATAGTAGTGTTTGGAAACCCAGCTATGTAAGTGTGTGTTTGCACCAGTTCTATGTGTGCCACTAAGGAGCAGAGACATCCAAAGGTCTGTGCTGAATTTCACTTTAAGCTTTGGGAGATCTTGAGTGCTTGGGGTTTCGGGGCTTCTGCAGCCTGCAGTGCTGACTTAGCTCTTCCCTAAACTCCATAACTCTTCAGGATTGACTGCCTGATCAAGATTTGTGTGCTGCTGTTTGACTGACCAGAGCAATACAACAGTGCTCAACTGAAGTTTGTATAACTGCTGTCAGTGCCAGTGACCAGATGGCTGCAAACCTTGACAGATTTGTTTTTAATGAAACTCTAAAAGAGGCAATCTGTACTGTGGTCAATTCTGAAACAAAATGCAGCTCCTCCTGTCTTTGAGGAGTTTTGGTGGTGGTGGCCTAAACATCCATCAGTAAAGCAAATGATAAAGGATATCAAATTGAAAAGTGTCCAAGAGTAGTGAGGAAATCTGGGTCAGGATGGAAAGGGGAGTTAAATAATGAAAGTAGCTGTATTGGTGTGGAAAGGGACATAAATAGTGTAACACATCCAAGCACAGCTGTGAGCTGAAAGCCAATGCCCTGCAGATCTGAGGAATGGGAACCTCCTGTGTTTCCCCCGGTATTGTAAGACCTGCAACACACCTGAATAGTTCTGAACCATCACAGTAGGAGATGTGGCACTTGCTCGTTACTGACTTTTCTCATTAGACCAAGAAAGTAAGGGCTGTTTTTCCTTTCCTTTCCTCTTCACCAGCTCAGGATAACAAGACTGCAATGCTCTTTTCCTGGTGCTTTGTCCAGCTGCAGTCAGGGGAGGCTTTAGGGGGTCAGGACCTCACATACAGCTGTGTGCACTGAGCACAGCTGGGATAGTGGAGCAATGCTCTGGAAGTTGCCTCAGAACAGAGATATCAGCTTTGTGCAGAGTTCCCCTGCTCTGCCAGCTCCATCCAGTTCCACTCTCCACAGGATTCGGACCCCAGCATGTGCTTGGGGCTTTCAAGGCAGCTCAGGTGCCCTACAAAAAGCTTTCAACTTCCAATCCTTCTGTTTCCTTTTCAGTACAAAGGAGCCAATATTCAGCTGCTGGATCTGCCTGGAATCATTGAAGGAGCAGCACAAGGTTGGCCCATCTCTGTGTTCATGGAAAGGAGGGCTTTGCCCTCAGCAGTGCCCCTGGGTGTCTCAGGCATTCACAGATTTCCTGGGCCAAGAGTTCCCACATTGGCTTTCCAAATCTTAGAGTCCTTGATCCTATGTGAGGCACAATTCCTATCCCTGAGCTGACATAAGGGTCTATATGTAGCAGAAGGAGGTGGGAGCCAAAAGCCAGCCAGTCACTTCTCACCTCCTTGCCTGGGTGTTATCTGGCTCATCTGTTTTCTGGTACTGAGGAAATCTAAAGAAAGATGCTGGAGAGGTGGAGGGAGGAATCACAGCTAAACAGTAACCTCATTTGACTAATTCCCTGAATTCCTGCCAGTCCTCCCATGACTCCTGATTCTGGGAAGAGATATTGGCTTTGTCTCTCTGCATTGTCATTGTCCTGAAGACAGCTTAGGAAATCATAGAGTCTTGGAATATCCTGAGTTGGGAGGGACCCACAAGGACCATCCAGTCCAGCTCCTGGCCCTGCACAGGACACCCCAACAATCCCACCCTGTCCCTGAGAGCATTGTCCAAACCCTCCTGGAGCTCTGGCAGCCTTGGGGCTGTGCCCACTGCCCTGGGGAGCCTGGTCAGTGCCAACCACCCTCTGGGGAAAGAACCTTTTCCTGAGATCCAACCTAAACCTGCCCTGACACAGGGGAAGCTGTTCCCTCAGGTCTGTTCACTGGTCACCAGAGAGAAGAGATCAGTGCCAGAAGATGCCTTAGGAAACTTTAGAAGATCTCCTAATGGTTTCTTTTTGAAGGAGCATGGCCTGGTTAATAAGATCTCTCTCCTTTTTGACCAGAAAGTGTAACCCCTCTGCACAGGTGTCCCAGGCCCACGCCCCTGTTGTGGGTGAGCTCTGTGCTGCCTGGGCCAGGGCCCCCAGCAATTGACTGCAGCCAGGGCAACCCTGCAGGACCCTTTTCATTGCTTCCAAGCTGCTGCACAGGGCAGGAGTCCCCATCTGTCATGGAACTCATGGCTGTTTCCTCTTGCTGATGCACATCCACCTGCTGTTTCCCCAGGGAAGGGCAGAGGTCGGCAGGTGATCGCTGTTGCCAGGACAGCAGATGTTGTTATCATGATGCTGGATGCCACCAAGGGGGAGGTGCAGAGGTGAGTGTGTACTGGGCAAGGGGGGTGGGCTTAGGGCTTCCCATGTGCCCGGGAAATGTGCCACAGCTCCCTGAGGGGTTGTAGAGAGCACTTGGGGAATGAGTGCTTAAGCTATTGGATATGAGATGGAGGTTGTACTCTATGAGAAGCATCATAGCTGACTGGCTTAGGTTCTCAGCTGAAGGATCATTCCCACAGGATGGCTGTCAGAGATGGGAATGTCAACCAGGATCTCCACCACAGACTCTGGCCTGCATTAGGTGGGTTTTAGGTTGTAGTGAAAACTTTTGGCAGGGCTGTCTCAACACAGAAGTGAAAGAGGAAAGGTCTGGGTGTCACCTGGCCACGCTCAGCCTCACAGGTACTGACATGCAGTGTCCCTGCAGGGCCCTGCTGGAGAAAGAACTGGAATCTGTAGGAATCCGGCTGAACAAAAGCAAACCAAATATCTACTTCAAGGTGAGGCTTCCTGAGCTCCTGCAGGTGTCTGGCTGCCTGCTCAAAGGCCAGCTCACTGTGTGCTGCCCCTCGTGTTGCACAGGCTGAGGGGGGCTGATGATTTTGCAGAATATTCTCATGTTGCTCCATTGCCTCCTGTAGCCCAAGAAGGGTGGAGGCATCTCCTTCAACTCCACTGTCACGTTGACTCAGTGCTCCGAGAAGCTGGTGCAGCTCATCCTCCATGAATACAGTATCCTTTCCTGAAGCAGGAGACCCTTCAGCCATCAGCAGGTCATGATTCCAGTGGTTCCTGCTGTGGGACAGCCTTGGTATCACTTTGGTGCTGGTTCTCCTGAGGGAGCTCAGCCTGGGGCTCGCAGTGGTTGCAGAATTGTGTTGGGATTTGGGCCTTGACAATGTTCACCTCAGAAATCTTCAATGCTGAGGTCCTGTTCAGAGAGGATTGTTCCCCTGATGAGTTCATTGATGTGATTGTAGGCAACAGGGTCTACATGCCTTGCCTCTATGTGAGTATCCTGGGCTTCTGTTACATCCAGCATCTCCTTTCTCTGCCAGAAGAAACACTGGATCTTCACAGAATCGTGGCATGGTTTGGGTTGGAAGGGACCTTAAAGCTCATCTTGTTCCACCCCCCTGCCATGGGCAGGGACACCACTCCACTAGCCCAGGTTGCTCCAAGCCCTGTCCAACCTGGCCTTGGACACTTCCAGGGATGGGGCAGCCACAGCTTCTCTGGGCAACCTGTGCCAGGACCTTCCCACCCTCACAGGGAAGAATTTCTTCCTACTATTCCATCTGACTCTGCCCTCTCAGTGTAAAGCCATTCCCCTTAGTCCTATCACCCCATGCCCTTGTTCCTGGCTCCTAAAACAATAACAATTTGAGGTTTAAGAGGTGGAAAATGGCTCAACGGGGAGTTTTTTTATAAGCTTTGGATATGCAGCCGTGCTGTGTGTGTTCCTTGGGCCCTCTTGTGGCTGATGCTGCCCTGGAGCAGCGGAGCTGCCAGCCCTGGTGCTGGGAGTTTGATCCCACGTGTGGAACTTCCAATTCCCCTGCTGCCAGCTCCGTGCTCGGCTTTCCACTGCTGGTCCCTTGTGTGCCAGAGTTCCCTTAACGGCTCTGTTTGTAGCCACTGGGTCTGTATGAAATAAAAACCACAGGAGAATGTGTTCCAAGCCATCCCAAAGGGAGAATTTTAAAAGGCCAAAAATTATATTCAGGCTTCTGAAATTTAACGGTTGGTTTTACTGAGAGCCTTGGCTTATCCTCTGACAGGATCTGCATTTCTGTTTCAGCTGCTGGAACTACCTTGTGCATGTGTTATAGTGTTGCTGAACTGCCTTCCTAAGGGCTGTGTTGTTTTCCCTTTGGTTTAGGTTTATAACAAGATTGACCAGATATCCATGGAGGAAGTGGATCGTCTTGCTCGGAGGCCCCACAGTGTTGTCATCAGGTAGGAGCTGTCACACTGCCTTTTGTGCTGGTCTCATGGTGTGCTGGGTCATTTCACACCCCTTCCTCCAGCTTCTCCCAGAAAGTGGCTTCTCCCAGGGCTGCTGGGATGAGAAGCAGTGTTGCTGTGCAGATTTTTCCAGACTTTCTTCCCCTGGAGAGGCAGGCAGCTTGGCTTCTCCATGCTGTCTCCAGTCTAGCTTGTTTCCTTAGAAGTGCTGATATTTCTGATGGAGCTTTGCTGCTTCAAAGCTGCTCACCCTTCTGGAAGCCTGATTTATTTCATAGAATCATGGAATGGTTTGGGTTAAAGCTCATCCAGTTCCACCCCCCTGCCATGGGCAGGGACACCTTCCACTAGCCCAGGTTGCCCCAAGCCCCTTCCAGCCTGGCCTTGGACACTTGCAGGGATGGGGCAGCCACAGCTTCTCTGGGCAACCTGTGCCAGGGCTCTCCACCCTCACAGTAAGGAATTTCTTCCTAGTATCTACTCTAACCTTGCCCTCCTTTGGCTTAAGGCCATTTCACCTTGTGTTTTTCCTTTCCTGGCCTCATTAAATACTCTTCCCTCATTCCCCAGCACTTTGATAAGACAGTTCACCTTGTTCTCCTGGATTTCTAAATCACAACAGATGTTCCTGGTGTTTTGCAGCTGTGGCATGAAACTGAACCTGGATTACTTGCTGGAAAAGCTCTGGGAATACCTGGCACTTACCTGCATCTATACCAAGAAACGAGGACGTAAGTGACCATGAGCTGAACAGAAAGTTTGAAAAGCACAAAGGCTGCTACTCATCAAAGAAAGACAGGCTGCCAGCAGGGCTTGTGCCTTGGAAATGCTGGAATTATGCTCTCCCTCACCAGCTTTCAGCTCCTGAGAAGAGCTTTCTGCTCCATCTAATCCTGCCATGTGTGGATCCCCCCACAGCCCTCCTATTCTGTCTTACAAGAGCTGAATTTTAATAAGTCTTTGCATGATGATACAAGGAAATAAGGTGTGCAAGTTCACAGCTTTCTTCCTTGTTATGCACGCTGTGATGAACAGTTCAGCCCATCACAACCCAGAAGAAGTTTCCTGATCCTACTGCAAGTAGTTTGATGATTCCCATGCCCCTGGCAGTGCCTTTGATCCTCCTTTTGCTTTATAACCTACTTGCAGCTTCTCCCAGTGATAAAGGCCCATCTATAACCTGTTCCAGGTTGGTTGTGAACAGCTGAACTTGGGTGGATATGGGGAGATGAAGGAACTTTCTCTGAGCTTGCTAAGCATTGAAATCTGGGGCAGTTTGGTTTTCCTTGAGCAGGTGTGTTTTGCTTTGGGTGGTTTTGTTTGTCGTAAGTCAAGTGTCTGGGATGGAGTTGGATCAGATGGGCTGTGAGGAAGCTGCTGGCTGTGGTGTGGGGAACTGCACTTGAGGGTAGTGAAGAACTGATTTGATGCTTTCAGCCACTGGATACCTGTTCAGTGTGGGAGCAGGGAGGAGGAATTTGGGAGTAGTAAGTGCAGGGTGATGTGAGATAGTCAGCATATTAGAACACACTTGATGAAAATCCCATGCTTTTTCCCCTCCCTTCTGCTTCTCCACAGAGAGACCAGACTTTACAGATGCCATTATTCTACGGAAAGGGGCCTCTGTGGAGCATGTGGTAATTTTTCTGCATGTTTTACATTTCCCTGTGTGCAGAAGGCACAGGTTCCTCTTGGGCCTGCTGTGATTTGTGCTTCATAAAGCTCAGGACCTGTCAGCGTTTAGTTGGGCTTCTCCTTTTGTTGCCTTGATTGATTTTTATCTGCCTCAGGTTTCTTTCACAGCTGCTGTGCAAGGTTTAAACAATAATTATTGAAAGCAGCCCAGTGAAAAGCACATGGAAGCAGTGGAAGGGGGATTTTTGTGGGCTAGTGATTCCTGTGTCTGTTCTGTATTGTTTCAAGTGCTGTTAACTGGCTCTTAAAGTCATTATTGTAATTTCTGACACAGACCTTCATGTCTTTTAGTTCCTGAATATTGAAAAAGTTGTTTGCAAAGAGATGCCACTAAATACTTCACCTTCTGCCTGTCTGTCTTGTAGTGCCATCGGATTCACAGATCATTAGCCAGCCAGTTCAAATATGCTTTGGTGTGGGTAAGTGTTTGACAGCTAATGGAATTCCTGTCCTCAGGTGTCTCTGACTGGGCTTCTCCTAATCCTTTTCCTCACTTTTTACTTTAAAGGGGACAAGCACAAAGTACAGCCCTCAAAGAGTGGGCTTAACCCATATGATGGAGCATGAGGATGTCATTCAGATCGTGAAGAAATAACTCTGCTGGTGCCTGGCCTTGTCTTTAATCACTGCAATTGGAACTGACATAGAAACAAAACAAAACACACACACACAAAAAAAAGAAAAAATAAAGAAAAAGGAAAAGGGAGACGTGTTCCACAGCCAAGAAAGCTTCTGTGAAGCTCCTTCTCTTGGAAGAAGGCAGAAAACAAGGCTACTGTGCTTGCAGGTGGGGATGGGGAAGATGGGTTTCCATCTCACAGTGTTTCAGGCCAAGTAATGTTCCTTAAAAATTAAAAGGGAGCCAATTCTTCTAGGACACAGTTCCCACATCCAGCAGTGTCCTTCCTCTTGTAGGGTTTGCACAGGGATCCACGTGCTCACCTCCCTAGGAAAGTGTTTGGGTTGGTGTCAACCAATCTGGCCCTGTGCTTTGGGCTGAGAGAACATTGCTGATGCTTTGCTGCTCATCCATTCACTTAATTTAAGCATTGATCTGAAACAGAATCAAAGTTCCCCCTCCCCTGCTCCTTGGACACATCTGCAGCCGAGACAGCCCCAATTTATAACGGTCCCACCTCAATTAACATTAAGACCTGGCACTCTGTGCCTCTCTTAGCCCTGCAGTGGGGTTTGTAGGACATCCTGGTCCAACTGGTACTGAGAGATGAGAAATTAAACTGTTAATGAACGATTATCTTGGCCAAACTGCAGCAGGGTACGATCCAAGAGCCACAGTCTGCAGTGAGGATTCACTTCTGGCATATCACTCATCAAGGAGCTGCCCTGGGAGCTTCCTCCTCTGTTGGGCAGGAGTTGTCCTGCCTGTTAATCCCCAAGCTGGAGTTCTTCTTAACCATGCCCCTGAATTCCAGTCACAGCTCTTTGGAGCTCAAGGTACCATCCCATGCCATGGGGTTTTACGCCAGCCCTGTTAAACACTGTTGCTTGTCTGGATATTGTTCATCAGAAGTCTGGAATTTTTCTAATCATGCTTTTCCATTGAATACCGTTGCTAAATAATTCAGAGTGCCTGATAGAGGACAGCTCTTGCCTTCAGGGATCAAGAGCTGCCAATAGCTTTTATTTTCTTTCGTTGGAAAAGGGTTCGGTCTGATGTGGATGAGCAACTGTGAGGACAGGTGTGACACCTGTCTCATCAGGGCTCCTCCCTCCTCCCTGCTCCTCCCCACCCCTCACAACCTGATGGAGCAGAAATGGAAGGATTATTTTATTTGAGAAAATAAAAAGTTGCTATTTCATGTGAACAGCGGGTGGATGGTTTGCTGTGTTTCCTAACGCTCTGTTTTACCTCCAGCCACCCGAGGAATCCTGGATGCTGTCGCAGGAGGTTGTAGGGGGGAGTAGAAGGTCAAGTGCCTGCAAGAGGCTGGTGATGGGAGATAAATAGATGTTATACACACAAGCTAAGAAGGTGACTTTGAACTCTGTAAGTCCTCTTCCCTGTTCCTGGCTTTGTTCACAGCTGGAGCACAGAGGAAACCCTGAATGCAGAGGCAGCGAGTGGGGAATGAGCTCCAAATTATCCACATTATCCCTGAGCTGGCAATGGAAAGCAGGCCCTTCCTGGTGTGAGCTGGGTGGGATGCTGTTCCAGCACATTAACTCACCCTTCCCATTTCCTGTGAAGGTCACACAGGCAGAATTGCCCTCACAAAGACTTTTGGTTTCGTTTTGTCCCTGAGTTTCTGACTTCTCCCTCAAAATTCTGGAGGCTGCCAAGGCTCAGCATGGAGCTGGGCAGCCAGAACTGCTGACAGGGCTTCATCCTCAGCCCAGGTAGTGCAGGGAGCTGGGGAGGTGCTTGGTGTGAGGCTGAATGCACAGTGTTACCTGCTAATTCCTATTCTTGGGTAGTTGGTGCTACCTCATTGTGTTTGGGTTCCAAATTGATTTTAGCATATCGTTAAAACCCCCTCTGCCTAATTAGCCTCATTTAGGAAAATGGGCATTTTTTCCTGTTGAAAACGAACTGATCCATGATTAAAATTGGAATGGGGATGAAGTAAAAATAGTGAAGCTAGAAGAAGCCAACTTCTTTTTTCAGTGAGAGTAGCTTTTCTGGCAGCGAGTTTATAGCTGCACTTGAAAATGCACCATTTAATTGCAGCATTCCTTCTTCCAGGCGCTTCCCTAATTGTTCTGCACTGATGTTAAAAAGCTGCAAACGTTGCAGTTCGTGCAGGGGTGGGTTTCCATGGACATCTCTGAATCCTGAGGAGGCAAGATCCAAGGGGCGAGGGGAGAATCTGCTCCAGCATTGGGGTTGTACTGGAGTCTCCTGGGGTTTATGGAATTTGCAGCATTTCAGTGTTTAAGGGGAGCTTATTAAAATGGTGGAGGGGGAATTTTTACATGAGCAGACAGTGATAGGACAAAGAGCTTGGTTTTAAATTGACAGGGGAGATACAGATTAGCTGTTAGGAGGACATTCCTCCCTGTGAGGGTGGTGAGGCCCTGGCACAGGTTGCCCAGAGAAGCTGTGGCTGCCCCATCCCTGGAAGTGTCTGAGGCCAGTGTGGACATGACTTGGAGCAACCTGGGCTAGTGGATGGTGTCCCATGGCAGGGGCTTGGAACAGGATGAGCTTTAAGGTCCCTTCCAACCCAAACGGTTCTGTGGTGATTCTGTGATGTTTCTATGCATTGGCCTGACCCCCCTTAGCTCCCTGGGGGAGCTGCCAAAGGGAGATGTGCTCAGAGACTCCTTGTTGTGTGTTTAGGGAAGAGCTGTTCTCTCTGGGAGGGTGGGTAGAGGCAGAAGCTGTGGATTTGCTCCCAAAACAGCAGCACCCTGCATTTCTGTGCTGTAGGAGGGAAGCCTTGGCTGGGTGATGCTCGGAGAAAGCCGCCCTCAAACAGTCCAGCTGATGCTCTGTGCTGCAGCTCCTGCCCTTCCCCTGCTCTTCCAGCCGTCTCCAGGTTCATTCCTGCTCTTCCCCGAGGGCTGTGCTCATCCTGCCCCATCCCCGGGGCCGTTCTGGCTGAGCACAGCGCTCCAGGTGCGGAGCGGGGCGGATCAGCTTCGCTGCAGCCCATCAGCCGCCCTCCATCTCTGGAACCAGCGGCGGCCCCAGGCGTGCTCTCTTTAAAATGCCTGTTCCAGGCAATCAAGCAGGTTTGATTGGCTGAACACCCTTCTTATAAATTAATTTAGTCAGGAATCGTTTGCAAGGTAATAAAAAGCGACTCTGCCTCCAAATACATTCATTTAATTCAATGAGAGACGGTTGCTGCGGCGGGCTCAGCTCAGCCAGCTCCCCTCACCCCATCACGGTGACATCCCCAAGTGCCGCTCGGGGCTGTATATAAGAGTCACGATCGGCAGTGACAGCTTAATTGTCTCAAATGCTGACAAGGGTCACCCCAACCAGCCATCGGGTGGCGCGGGGCCGGCTCGGGAGGGCTGCGGGGAGGAGGATTTATGGCTGGCAAATAGTTTTGAATTCCTCTGGTTGCGCCTGCTAAATGATGAAGCTGCCCCGAGGGGATTGGGGCTATTGATTGTAATTTGCAGTTAAGCCCTCGCAGTTCTGAGGAATCAGCATAATAAATACCCACCGCATTATGGCAGGGACGTGCCTGCCTGGAGGAGAAGGAAGTGGGGAGGTTTTCCCAGCTCGGGTGCTGCAGCAGGATGCTCTTGCTGCCCTCGCATTTGGGAGAGCCACAGGCTCCATCACTGCAGGAAAATGGTCCCCAGTGTGGTGGGATGCGGGAACCCAGTGCTGGGATGGGGAGAAGGAAGCTTTGTGAAGGGAGGTGGAGATGCCCTGCTTGCCTGAGAAGGACAGGGTGGTTCAGTATTGTTGGTATGAGGCTGCCAGAGCCTCAGGAGCTGGTTGCTCCCAACCCAGCTTTGAAGAAGGGTGGGGAGGTGTGCATTTGTCCCCAGCTCCCATGTCCCAGTGATTTCTTGTCCTAAACTCGCATTGGTTTGGGGGCAGGAATGGGTCAGGGCCATTTTCCAGCTGTTCGCATCTGGGCTGCACTGAAGTGCAGATCTGTATTCCAGAAGGGAAGGGGCTGTGGGACTGTCCAGCTATATCACCAGGGAAGGGACAGGGACCACGGGAGGACAGGACCCTCGCTGCCTCCCTGCCCCTCCCCAGCTCTGCCGAGGGAAGATCAGCTCCCATCCCTGCGCTCATGAGTGGAGATGAGAATAATAGCCCTCATCAAATATGCATTGGGTCCTGCAGCTGCTGCTGCACCGATGGTCCCGCGGCTCCGGGGGAGGGATGGTCCCCAGCAGGAGCAGAGCCAGGAGCACCAGGTCAGCCCCAGGCCGTGCAGGTGAGCTGGCTACCCCAGGTGAGTGGCTGCGGGTCCCCCAGCTGGGTGGCACTTCCCTTGGGGTCACAGTGCCACGCTGCCTTGGCCAGACTGACCTTTGTGTGTGATGTTGGTCCTTAGGCAAGCGCTGCAGCTCAGATCCTCTGGGACAGGGTGTGTGGTGTCCTCTTGCCTCTGCCTGCCCCTACCTGTGTGCTTGCTGCCTTTATCCCCCCCATCTCATCTTCTGCCTCCTGCCTTCCCAACAGCCCCATGTTTCCACGGCCCTCCAGAGCAGAGCAGCCTCCCTTGAATGCCCCCTCCCCTCAGGACTCTCTGCCCCAGGTCTCCTACCACCCCTTCCCCACACTCCTTTTTCCATGTGGCTGTTTTGCCCTGGGAAGGCTCCTGGGCTTGGCTCTGGGACTGAGGTGATGGCCCAGGGCTGTGACCTGGCTCCGGGGCTGCCAGCCAGCACTCCTGGGTGCACGCCAGCATCATGCCCAGCTGGTCTGTGCTTCCAGCATCTGCTCCAGCCTCTCTCCTCCCATAACACCTCCCTCGTGGGCAGCAGGCAGCAGCTGGCAGGCAGGGATGTGCCGTGCATTGTCCATGTGCTGGGTCCCCATGCTCAGTTTGGAGGGGGGAACTGGAGGGGGTGGAAATTAGCCAGGGCAGGGGGGTGATGGGTGCTCGGAGGAGCATGGAGAGACCCCACATTGCCCCAGAGGCTTGGAGGTCTGTGCTGCTATCACATTGCTGGCTTGGTCCAGTTTATCCCTGTGTTCTTGGCACTCCTGGGGCTGTGACTGGAGTGACAAGAGCTGCAGCAGGGTGGCCCCACCTGCCCACAGGTGTTTGAAAGTGGATGTGCAATGATGCAGAACTGATGACAGGGAAGGGGATATGGTGAGAGGCGCTGCTGCAGCCGGGAGGTGCCCG